TTTTTTTTTTTAACTTACAGTTTGTTTATATGAGGGCAAAACAGAGACGATTAATTTTAACTTGTGTGTGATGTTTTAGCGAACAGGTATACTAAGGAAGAATGCAAAAAGATGCTGGTAAAAATTGAGAAGGAAATTGCCCGATACAACTCTCTCAGTGATAACAAAATCGCCTCGATTCACATGAGTAACAGTGGTAATCTGAAAATGTTTGGCAGCAAACGCATTATTAATGCGTGCTTGCATTCGTCAATGCCCACAACACTCGAAGAGAAGTATGAGGAAAAAAGAAAGCGCAAGGAGAAGTCAGTCGAGGACATGGAGGTAATCACTGCTACTGATCGTTCGTTTGCACTTCCGGTTTATTTAGAAATGACTTTTGAGTAACGGTATTCTATTATGATTGCGCACCACTACTTCCTGCTCTTTTTCGTGATTTTCAGATTGTTTCGATTCCACTGGTTCATACTGCGCATTACAAAGTCGATTTTGCTAAAGATTTCGAAATTCGTTCAATACTGATCAAATTCATAAATTCAATGCATTTTCCATGGAGTCCTTGGTTTGACATTCCTCAGAATCCGGAATACTGGCCAGAGCAAGTTCCATTTTACAATCCCAGTTCCCGCGTCGTTGATTTAGAGGAAATTGCTCGACTAGAGTGTGAGTGCTTTATAAGTTGATACAGTCGTCAAATGAGACACGACTGTGATGTAAGATCATAAATCCAAGACGCAAAGAACATTAATTTCATGCCAGTAGGGGTACCCCATTGCTGCACGTCGGGCACAGCTATTTCAGGTTCTTCGAATCCCAAATAATTAAATCTTTGCAACTTTTTCGTAAAAAACTTGTTGAGAGCGCATTCTCCTCAGCGTTTGTGCTGAACACATCAAATTGGATTCTGCAGTTATACGACTGCTAACTTTTCCGGGGTTCTGTTGTCCCAACGTACATTTTGTTTCCTGAAGGGAAACAAAATGCACGTCGGGATAACAGCATCGCACAAATTAAGCTTTCCCCATAGAAATATCTGGCAAGGCTAAAGCGGTTACGTAGCTTATGTTAAAAGAGCATCACAACAATTTTTTACTTCCAATTTTATGTAGGGAAGAATTATTAGAGTAATTTAGAGCTTCACTGTGGAAAATTCCACCCATATAGCGAAATATCGAAGCACTGATGGCGTATTTCTTTTAAATCATTTCCTCAAATTTCGTAGAAGTGGCGCTACTACTGGTCGTGTACAACTCATCAGACTATGGGCAGTTTAAACCAGTCAGTACGGGATAAACCTCTTGCAACTGCTACTCCGTCTCATTCTTATCAGTCCTTCAAAAACACAATGTTTGCAGCATCTACAGCTTATCGCATTGATGAACTTGAAAGGAATATACTGCAATTCGCATTTTATCGCTACAATGAGTTCATAAGACGTCACTTTGGAAATATCAGATTATGTAAGTTGGAAAGCCGCAGACACTGTTGTTCAGGCAGTGTTGTAACAATTAGCGACAGACTTTTTTGCTTAGTCCTCTTGTTTTTCAACCAAGTGTTTACATGAATTTTTTGCAGTCCATTCTGGAGAACTCGGTGAGCCACGTCCAAGTAGCAGAAATGCAGTGTCATCCCTGATTTATTCCGATTCTGCAGGTGTGTTTTTGTTATTAGATGACCGCAACCTTGTGAAGTGTTTTTGGTTCAGCCAGGACTTCACAAAGTGGATAATTTATAAAGCTACGGTACTCGATCTTGTTAGTATGAGCCGAAAAACCAACACTGCGGCGGCTCATTGAATAAATATAGAGGGCGGTTTGGTTTGGTTGCTGCTTACCCTCTTCAAACGATTTTCTCCGGTTATGTCAAATCTGGGTGCGAGTCATCTCGAGGTATCACTTTCGTGGGCTTTCTTAGTTCTTTTAAGGTTAAGTGAAAATTTTATTGGAAAATGTAGCAATGGATGATAGAAAAGGTCAAAAAAGAGTAAACCCAGGCTGAAACGCACCGGGCGGGCCCGTGCGATCATGCTTTTTGCACCGGACTTGAAGTACTCAGGTCATTAAATGCATGAATGGCTTTGCTTTACACCTAACTGCTGCGGTCACTAGCATAAATCACCATAATTTTTGCAAAGTAATGTATAAAAGTAAAAGTAACCTAGTTGTTCAGTAAGAAATTTTTTCGCCAAGATTTTTAATTGCCCGTACGTAAGAACCACGCATACCTCAAGCTGAATCTGAAATACGTAAACTGTACTTGGACTG